GTCTGATAATATAAAGGGGGTAACTTCAGTTCTTTTACATTTAGACAGACGTGTTCTATGAGCTAGCATGTGGTCTATTTTGGAGAATGACCAATGTGCAACTGAAAAGAATGTGTATCCTGATTTTGTGGAGTGGAGCACTCTGTAAACATCTATTAAATCCATTTGTTCAATAGCTTGGTTCAGTTCTAGAATTTTGTTGTTAATGTTTTGTCTAGATGATCCGTCCATTTGTGATAGTGGAGTATTGTGGTCCCCCACTACAATTGTATTAGTGCTTATTTGGTTTTTCATGTCCATTAATATTTGTTTTGTATTGTTGGGGACATTCATTTTTGATGCATAGATATTTATGATTGTCATTGCTTCCTCTTGGATTATTCCCTTCACAAGGATGTAGTGACCATCTTTGTCTGTCTTAATTAATTTTGGTTTGAAATCTACTTTGTCTGCAAAGAAGATTGGCACCCTTGCTCTTTTTCAGGTTCCTGTTGCATGGAGAGCTGTTTTCCATCCTTTTACTTTCAGTTTTTGAATTCCTTTTTGAGTTAGGTGTGTTTCTTGTATACAGCATATTGTAGGATTTTGCTTCTTAATCCATTCTGCCAGACTGTTTCTTTTGTTTGGTGAATTGAGGCCATTAACGTTGATGGTTATAATTGATAGATAGTGACTCATCCTTGTCATGATGTTTTACTATTGTTGACTCTTTTCTTATTGTACCCCCTTTCTCTTTAGTTTCTTCCTTTGCCTGGTGGTTTCCCTCTGTTGGGCCTCATGGAGTTGTAACCTTCATCGTCTTTTTCTAGGATATTGTTTAGAATTATTTGGAGTGCTGGTTTAATGTTCATGAAATTTCTCAGGTGTTCTTTGTCATGTAAGTATCTAATTTCCCCATTGATTTTGAAAGATAATTTTGCAGGATACACCAGTCTAGGTTGGAAGTTATTTTCTTTTAGGGCTTGAAATACTTCACTCCAGGTTCTCCTTGACTTGAGGGTTTGTGTTGAGAAGTCTGCTGTGATTCTGATGGGCTTTCCTTTGTGGGTGATTTGTTTCTTTTCTGTAACTGCTTGTCGGATTTTGTTCTTCTGTTGGGTTTCTGGGATCCTATTATATGTCTAGGTGTAGGTTTTTTTTGATCATGGCTAGTTGGAGTTCTATATGCCTCACTTATCTTTCTGTCCAGTTCACTACCTCTGTCTGGGAAGTTGTCTACTATTACTTCTGTGAACAGTTTTTTTTTATGTCTTTTGTAGTTTCTCCTGCTTTTTCGTGGACTCCTATCAGTCTTATGTTATTCTTCTTTGCATTGTCTAGCAGCTGTTGGATTGATTTCTTGTGCTTCCTTACTATTTTGAAGAAATCTCTGTTTTCATGGTCTTTAACCTCAATCCTGTCTTCTATATCTGATATTCTCTCTTCACCTACCTTTAATCTGCTGTGAATACTTTCAATGGTGTTTTTAATCTCCTGGATATCTGTTTGAATCTATTTCATGGATTTCATTTCTTTCTTATGTTGTTTGATCATGGTTTCCATTTATTATGCTGGGCATTCATGACTCCCAGCATAGTTCTAAGCCCACTTATTTTTTATCTGTTTCTTTTCTAGAGCCTCTAATCGTGTCTTTCGCTCTTCTCACCATTGCTAGTTATCTGGATTATTATTTCTGCTTTGATTTTTTCTAAAGCTTCATTCATCTGTTTTGTTACTTCCTGTGCTATCAGTTCAGGGTGTCCAGGTGGTTGATTATCAGACTTTTCCACCTCATTTCCCCCAGAATTTGCCTTTTGCTGAGTAGAAGTCTGAGTTTGTGCCTTGCTTAAATGTCTTCTCGTTTTTGTGTTTGGTACTGTCCTTGGTTTAATTCCTGGCTTGATACTTGGAAATTGCTTATTGTTAGTATCTTTGTTGCTTGTATTTAGAACCCTTATGGAATCATTGCTTCTCAGAGGTGTCTTCCAGATATTGCTGGTCTTTAGGTTTTGAGTTGCTAATGGCTCTGAGGCTATCTCATTTTCATTATACCAGGAAGGACAACTGATTAGATCAATCACAACACCTTAGCCCAAGTGTACAGTCAGCAACACCACTGCATCAAGCACAGCTTATAAAATAACAATTTTTGGTAGTTATGAATCTATGACCTTTAACTGTGTGAATTAAATGAAAATTGAGGACCAACCGAACATATTTTTATAGTGAATAAACTCTTCAATATAGCAACTTTACCCTTCGGGATGGGGAGTTAGAAGGAGTTGGGGAGGGAGGGATAGCTAGGTAGAAGGATAGGGAAAGGTTACCAGTGAGGAGGACACAGGAAGATCATGCAAACTGTAAGAAACTGTTGAAGACAAGAGGAAAAGACAGAATGAAAGAACAAAGAGGAGAACCAAACAATCTAACAGCAATAGTGAGGCTATAGAAACTTTCTTTACTTTCCTTTAAAACTAATGAGAATCTAGAGAAGAAAATAGAGAAGAAAAGAAAAATAAAGAAGAAACACAAATTAGGGCCAGAACAGGAACAAAAAGGGAGATGAAGAAGAATGTGGGACAGTGAGAGAGTGAGTGAAAGAAAAAAGTTAGAAAAAAGCAGAAGAGAAAAA